AATTTCATCATCCCAACTGACTTTCACTCCATCATTTTTCAGAGGGGTAGGTATAGCACCAACTAGATAACTATGGGAAATCACCATTTGTCATAGGTAAATCACCATTTGTCATAGGTAAATCAACATGTTTAATGGTTGAAACCACCACCCAGTCATTGTTTCTTGGGCCTTGAAGGATCTCCGAGTGTTTTTTTTTGGGGGGGGTGACGTTTTTTCATCGCGACCAGATCTTCGTGGCGCAATCTGAGTTGGTGGGTTATCAGCGCTGGCGATTGATGGCCTTAAAGCAGCTTCTGGAATTCATTGGCAATTATCTTAAATATATATATATATATTATACCATTGACTGTTTGTATTCTTGCTCAATGTGAATGCGTATAAAACCAAAACATGAAAGGTTTGACTTGCTGGTGAAACATGTAGAGTCACCTGTTTATTCGTTGGTGGAATCATGCGTAGTCCCACTGCGTGTTGGTTAAAACCCCATTATTCACAGCTATATTACCCAGTGGTGTTGGTAGCCATTTTTGGTTTATCCCTTCCGTATGTGCATGTCAGTGTATCCCCCCAAGAAATTTCTTGATTTCCAGAGAAATATCCTTGTTATATATATATCCACTAGGGTATATATATATATACATATCCTCTAAAGAATGGGGTAACCCGGGTTGCGCCATTTTTTTTGATATTGATACTCCAGCCCGTTATAGGAAATTGAAGGCTAGAAGGGAGGGAACTTGTTAAATTTCGCCAGCATATTTACCAACATTTCCAATCTTTGTACTTGGGGTGTTGGGAGCAACCCTGTATCAATATCAAAAATAACCATTCTGGTCAACCACCAACCAGATAACTATGGGAAATCACCATTATTAATAGGTAAATCACCAACCAGTCATTATTGCTGTTATCTCTATTACTGCCGATATCTCTATTATTGACTGTGAATATGTTGTCGATCCCTTCGCCATCGCTCCATTGATGCTTTTAGATTTTCGCCCTGGGGCTTGAACATACTACTCATTGGTTTATTGTTGTTTTTTAATGTTTGTTGTTGTTTTTTTAATGTTTATTGATATTTATTGATATTTATTGATATTTATTGATATTTATTGATATTTATTGATGTAGACATTGGTTTATTGATGTGCCCCATGGGCATTTTTGACTCACCAACCTACGGCCAACCTACGGGGTTAACCATGTGATTAGGTGGAGGCCTCCAACTTCCGCAGGTGCACCGCGATTGATTTCTGGCTCTTTGCTGATTTCATCATCAAAAACATGGATAAACAATGTGGAGTTTACCGTGATTTTCAACATGTTGGGATGGTTGAACACAACGTGGATAGATGATATCTAGTTATTCCCTTAAGTGATGGTGTGTTTTAGCCATTTATGTTGGGATAATTGATGATTAGGATTATTTTTCTGCACATCCCACAAACTCACGAATTTCTTGTTCGTTTCCTTGTGATTCAGCATCATTGTTTCAGATCATATTGAACGTGTATGAATCATTCTTTGAAACTATAGACTACCCTCTGGTAATCCATAGCTATTGAAAATGGCCCATTTATAGTTGATTTACCTATTCCAAATGGTGATTTTCCATTGCTATGTTAGTTTACCAGAGGGTATACATATAGATTCTCCAAGGAAAATTCGGAAATTCCGCGGTGCCACAGTCGGAGCCACACACTTCCAGTACTTGTTTTTCTTGTATGCAGTATAATTACCCTCTGGTAAACTAACATAGCTATGGAAAATCACAATCTTTACCCTCTGGTAAATTAACATAGACCCTGCCAGATAGGCGTTGGAAGATTAGTTTCCATCAACAACATTGTGATTTTCAGGGTCTATGTATGTCTATGTTAATTTACCAGGTGGTAATTGGTAAATCTATTTCTATGGGCCATCGTGATACCACTTCCGGGTCCCTCGACTGCCGATCCCGCCAGGAAGCTGGAACGCAATGCTCGGCGCTACGAGCGCTTGCGACAGGAGGTGAATGTTGGGTCACCAGCAACGGGACAGGTTGACCTTGGGATATGAAGCGTCAAATGGTGGTATAGTATGGTTTAATATCCCAAGATATCCCAAGTATAATCAAGTACTTGGGGAGTCAAAATTTAAGATCCAGGGGACCACCGATATTAGTCGATTCTTAGTCTTAACATGTCTTAACTATCGATTGGGGTACCCAATGATGACGTAATACCCATATCAGGTTTATTATGATGATGTATAAGATGATATATAATATCCTATCTCAATGACTATCCTAGTTTAACCATGTGCAATGGGTATAGGCATTGGTTGGGATCCACAATAGTAAATTACTAATTACCATCTCCAATCTGTTGGTATACTAACCCCAGTTTAAACAGTGGACGTATGCTGGGCAAGTTACAACAACCTGGACGCCTGCACTGTAGATCATGCTTAATTAGACTGAGAAATGACCGCAACATGGAAAGTGAACGTGTTTCCCATAATCAGTGAACATGGTTCAAACAAAGAATAGATATGCTGGATGTAATCCGACTGGTTGTGATATCGATATCAACTTGGGGGAATTACCGTGCGCGATCAACCTCCCCACTAGTGGATCGTGGGCACCTGACACCTGCGTTGATTCGGTTGGGTCAAGTTCTACGTAGGGAGCAAGTACAGTAAACCAGATGATACCAGATGTTATTGAGAAAGGATGTAACATATTGTACCAAGGTGGTGTTTTCCCCAGTTATAAGTTGGTTTATAACCCCCATTGACTATATATCTCGTTGGTGATTTGGAACATTTGTATTATTTTTCCCATCATATTGGGAATGTCATCATCCCAACTGACTTTCACTCCATCATTCTTCAGAGGGGTTGAAACCAACCACCAACCAGATAACTATGGGAAATCACCATTTTTCAAAGGTAAATCACCGTTTTTAATGGTTGAAACCATAGACTTTGACTCTCCGAGTCTCCAATGCAGGTGGAACGTGCCCATGAAGAGTTGGCCAACGACAACCAGTCGCTGAAGCGCAGGATGACCCAGGGATTCGTGGTTGGATCATGGTGATTTGATATTAGCTGATCGTTATTGTTGTGATTTGATTATAATATATTATAATGGTGATCTGATAAATGGTGATCTGATGGATATAACATTTGGTTATTTAACATAGCCATGGAAAATCACCATTTTTTATAGGTAAACCATCTATACATGGACCATTTTCCATGGCTATGTTAAATAACCAGATGGTATTATAATGGTGATCTGATATATGGTGATCTGATGAATATAATGGTGGTTAATATGATTATATAATGGTGATCTGATTATGGTGGTGATTATGGAGTCTGATTCTTTACCCACATACTGTAAGTGATCTAAACCACAATCATGATGCGTGAATTATTCACCACAATATCTTTAAACATGAGGAATTCTTTTTATATCATTTTCATAGAGAAAACCTTGGTGAATGTCAGGTCGGATATCGGGTTATATAATAGGTCCTGCTTTCAGCGAGGGAGGATGTTACCACCAACGGCGTGAAGTTCTGCAAAGAGCATTTGACCGAAACAGGGCTCCTGTAGCTTCGACTGTAGACCAATTACATGATTTACTGCACGATAGTCATTTTGAGGGTTCCAGCTTGGTCAGATGGGGGCAGCATTCCTTAGGGCTTATCCCTTTGTGGGATTGGTAACTGGCCGAGTTTACTGTAGTTTTGAATACCGTACATCAAAAGCACCTTGAAATCGATGGGTCCTATCAACTCCTCTGAACGGTGAAGCTAAATAGTTGAAAGATGTGTTGAAAATGCATGCCATTTTGATGAGATCCCACGTGTGGATGTTTCATGACAATTAGCAGTTGGACTATATGTGGTAGTTGTAATTGCAAAAATGTATCACCACCCCTGGCAAATCCTAATGGCTTGGAATATCTCCTTGCAACAGGTTGACATTCCCAGTTCATACCCACTTACCTCTAGCAGTTTAGTGCATTCACTACTCGTACCATCTATGTCCTGAATTGGCTTTGGTCATTCTTGAATTTTCCAAATATTCCCATGTCATAATGTCGTTATTTTATCTCGGAAACCATGGTTTCGTATGGTTTCGTGGCATCTACAGTCATGGCCCATACAGATATAACTGGGATGAACTAACTCCACTAAGATATACTAAGCATTACTAAGCCAGCTGTATACTAAGCTGTAACAGGTAATATGAAATCATCCCATGGCCAAACCTATTTGGGCCATCCTTTCCGGGCCGATGCTGTCGATGCTGTCAGGTGAATGTGAATCTCTCCGCGCTCTCTTCGTGCGTCAGCAGCAGCAGCACATCGCCTTTTGGTCGGGACCGTTCCTGGTGCGGAGCACCCAGTGACGGCCGCATGGCCCGTGGCGTTGCCGCCGTTTTTTTCACATGTGTTTGAAATTCCAATGGCAAAAGTGGACATACTCAAAAAAGTAGCCGAAAAAAATGCTTAAGAACGTGAATCACAAATCACTGAACATAACTGAACTAATATGATGTATACACATTGTACAGTAAAAAAACTATATGAAAATGCAGGGATTTCACCGGAAATGGTCGTGAACTCTGGAGGGTCCATCCCCTGCCTCAGGGGATGGTTTTTATTAATCCACGACGAAGTCCCTACAGATACCGAATGCTATTAGCATCATTAGAATAGTTCATCGTATCACATATATAATTATCGTGATAAGTATCCCATTATATGGGGTATATCTCATTATATCACATGGTCATCCATAGTGGGAATCCCCATAATTTTTGTATATCCTGTTGTTTGGGGATTCCCACTATGGATGACCATGTGTTGAAAAATGTTTTGCATGACAAGGATACAAAAAAATCAGAGTAATTGAGTATCGTCAAATTCTCAGATTCGTCCATTTTTCAGAGTACTTTGAGGGTCAAGTCAAGGCCTCATCCGGAGCTGTGTGGGAGATCAAGTTAGAAATCTCAGCACATGACATGTTTTTACCATCTGAGCTGTTGGACGCGGCCATGGCGCTGTCGAAAAGTGCAAGAACCGCCGTTCCTGGATCGCAGTGAAGCACCGAAAGTTCATCATCCACAAGTGGATGATGCGACCATCGTGGATTACGTGGATGATGTGGATTCTGATGGGAAAAAACTAAAAAAACACAACAAAATCTGGAAGTTGAAGGGAAACGGAGCTATTGGCGATCTGCATGGAGCTCTTGGTACCGATGGCTACGCTGATGAGCTATGGCCAGCGGCTACAGGAGGCCTGGGCTGGGTGAACCCTGTGCCATAAACGCATAAACCTATCGTTTCAGGATGGTTTATACTATACCATGCTGTATGGTAATATTATGTATAAACGTAGTATTGGGGATGATTTGCTATTGGGTTTACCACATTACCTTGTTCTGAACATACATTCGCTGTTGATTTGAACTTGTTTTTCTTCAAAAGGGTGCGGGCTACATGACAATTCGTTTGTACCAAGCAACAAAGACGTGTCTCTATTGTTTTCCCCAAGAAAAACGTCGATCCATTCCCAGATCCACAAAGAACTTGCATCCGCTGGGAGAACTTGGGGAACTCTGAAGACCATCAAGCCGCTTGGAGGATTTCTGGGCAACCTTGGCAGGAACCGATGATTGTATTACTCTGCAGGCAAGAAGTGGTGATCTTGTTGAAGCGCCACTGGGAACCTGACTTGCTGCTTTGCAGCTGTTTCAATATGTCCTACAAATAATGTACCTATGTTTTATATTGGCAGTCTACTGTGCTTGTGAAGTTAGCTTGGTTGTCTCGCCACATTTTTTTTCAGTTCTTTTTCAACACTTGCAACCTCAATTTAGCAAGTCCAAGGCAAAGCTTGTTGGTCGCTTCTGTGGATTCAAATTCTTCGGATGAGCATTTCCTCACGCCACTGCACGTTGCCTGTGCCGAAGGGAATTTCGATACTTGGATGGTGGGTTGTTTTCAGTTTTTGGGACGTTGAAATCACGAAACCACCAATGGTTTTTGAAATGTCGTGCTCGTTGGTTGGTTTCAATTTCTGGCCTTCCGAATCGAATTGGATAATCCCAGCCGTTATCGCAAAAGCATTGGATATTGACACATGATCCATCCGTCCATGTATGAATATATACAATATATATATATATATATATGGGATTATATATATATGGGATTATATATATATATAATTATATTCCAAAAACTGTTATCCAACCCCCCAGCAATCGGCACTCCACAATTCCTGTGAGTTTGTTGCACTACGCAATCGGGTGGATTCCTTGGAGTTGGCGAGACTGCTAGGGTGGATCCCTTGGTAAACTCAATGCCATAAACCCAAGATAAAATGGATGATTAAAAGAGGGGTACCCTCTGGTAAGCTAACAGTTAATGGGATTATTAATGGGATAGTTAACAATGGTATATTGAAAGTAACACTAATAGTCAATTAATGGGATACCCTCTGGTAATTTGTTACATAGCTATTGAAAATGGCCATTTATAGTGGATTTACCCAGCTGTAAAATGGTGATTTTCCATAGTTATGTAAACGTTTACCAGAGGGTACCATAATTCAATACATGGGTGGTACCATCCGCAAAAACACAGGCAATTGTTCCGTTGACCACATTGCATCTATTGTCTTGTTGATGATTGGGTTTACTCTATCCAGTGGTTAGGATGCAGCCAAGGAGCTTGGGGGTGCACTCCCTAATTTTCATGGGGAACCAAGGAGCTGGAAGTTGAGTTTCCCAACCACATCATGGTACCTGCAACAGGTTTAAGGGGTGCAACGCCGCATCATGCCGCATCTTTCCACCAGGAAATGGTGCGTTTGATCGTTTCTCACGGAAGCAGCGTGAATCGTTTGGACGTCCACGGCCATGGACCACTGTGGCATGCGGCGCAGCAGGGCCATGGTGAGATCATTCAGTTTTTGATTCAGGAAGGTGCAGTGGTGAATTCCATTGATCAGTTCCTTGTTCGCGAGTTTCCATGTACCCTCTTGTAATTTATACAATATATCAGTATGATGGAAAATCACAATGTGTAAATATGTTAATTAAAAAGGTAAATCATCTATAAATGGGACAGGTTCAAAGGCTATGTTAAATTACTGGAGGGTTATATATTATATTATATATACTTATATATACTTATATACAGTATATAATATATTGTGTACATTGCTATATGGTTATATATAGGGATAAGCGAACCTTGCCAGTGGAGTGATGCTTTTTTTTAGTAAGGGGATTTTTATCCCCAAATGGGCGAACCTTTGAGGTGGGTGATCATGAATTTTATCCAGATATATGTGTTCTTTATGGATGTTTATCTGTGTTTTCCATAGGATTTCGGCTGAATAACACCTGTTTCTATGGGAAGTTGATCCAGCTGATGATGACCCAGGTTCGGTGCAACGCCTTTGCACGTCGCAGCAGAGAACGGTCATTGCCTTGTTGCGACTTGGTGCTGGGACTGGGCGAAATGTTGGGGTTTTGGGTACCCGTTTAGGCGAGTCCAACTGTAAAGAGTTTAGACCACTAGGTCGAATGTGTGCAAACAGTATATGGCAGTGTGTCAAAACCTTGTACCCCTGGTGAACATCAAAATAGCTGGTAAATGGATGTTCATCCCACTAAAAATGGTATTAATAGGTATTGATCCATACCCATATGATGTACCCTCCTGTAAATTAACATGACGACCCTGACAAGTAGGGGTTGGAAGATTAGTTTCCACTCAAAATTGCTATTTTCAGGGTCCAACTGTTAATTTACCAGAGGGTAATTCCTGGGAATCGTAGGTGGTTCAGAACCATGGTGAGCTGAGCTTGTTTTGGTTGAAGAGGATGAGGAGGATTTGGCAAGTAAATCACAGTGTATTCTATACCTACATAGACATATCCAGTTGTCTTTGTGCGATATTCCACTGACACACACACACACATGATCTATCCTGACATGCAGATGAATGGTATATGAGCTACAACCAAAATTTAGGTTAATGGAGAGTAGTATTCGAGCGGTCTCTATTTTTTGGAAATTGAGCTGGGGCTTGGAAAACGATAATACACTCATCAAAAAACGATAATATTTACTTATATGCCAAAACCTGAAAAACGATAATACACTCTTCAAAAATTGATGACTTGGAGCTATATACCAAATATTGACCGTGGCCCATATGTATATATATATGTAATGTATATACATATATACACAGTATACAAACATGATCAATGATGAATATCGTCAGCTTACCATTTCTGAAATGCAAATCAACACATCCACGCAGGGAACCTATGTTTCCTTTGTTTCAGGTGAAGCACTTGCTACAGGCTGATGCTGAGATCATCAAGGACGGTTTTCTGTCAAGCTGTTTGAGCGGAACAACCTGGATTCAATGAGGAATCAACCATGTCACATACCATTTTTGTTTGCAGAATCTACCTGAGACTAATAACAATTACCTTATTCAAGGGTAGATACATCTACCTGAAAGAAAAACTAAGTATATTAAGTGTTTGTTCTATAGTTTTTCACGGTGACTGCAAAAACACACACACACACTCATAAAAAAGAACCTGGAGTTGGCAGGTCAGGTTTGCAGCGAGACGCGTCCGGAAATCGCTTTACGTTGGTTTAGCCATGGAAAATGGCCATGGAAATCAGACAAAGCCATGAGGCCATACGTGTGTATCATGATGTGACAGTTATGGCCCAACTAACAGTTTTAAAATGGGAAATAACATATTATAACTACTATAACTACGGTTACATATCATTATAATCTCATTTATAACTGTTAAAGGCCATAACTGCACAGTTTTGTACAGTCTTGGTCTTGGTTGCACTTCCTCTAGGCCTGCGCCCTTGAAACAGGATGTCTACGGCACCGTGCCGCACGTCAATCTTTGAGGCTGCTAGGAGTGATGGCATTCTTGCGTAGAACACGCTCGTCGACTGCTGAGCAGGGGATGTGGGTATGGATCAAGATACACTACCCCTTGGTACTGCAAAGATTGGTCAAGTTTCTATATTTGACAAAATTTGACATTATTTGACAATCTAATCATCTTGGTATCGGAACTTGGAACCATACCCAGAGTCAGCTGCTTGGAAGTTGTAGATTGATTGTTTTGCTTCTACGTCTACATCAAATTTCAGTTTGTTTCGCACAGTCCTCTACTACGGTATCCACTGGCCCCATTGAAAGTGTGCCAATATTTTTCTATTTACCCCATGGAAGACAGATTGCGCGACGTCAATCAGGGTCTTCCAGGGCTGTAAATGGGCTGGCAGTGTGAGTTATGTTTCAACATACATTGGCCAAGGTTTCAAACGGACAGCTGGTGCTTCAGACATGTGACATGTGTCCATGACTGCCTTATTTGGGAATTTTGGGATGATTGTAGCGGCCTCGGAAAACTCTCCGTGCGTTGAGGTTGGTGTAGGAACCATGCCTTGAAGTGCCACAGGAAACCAGTCAGATTCGGTAAATTAAGACTGTTTGTTTTCACAGGAAAAACATACTGAATCTGGTTAGAGCCGAACCGCTTGGAGCGTTGATCTTCCCGGCAGAAACATCCTGATTTTGTCTTCTGAAGATATCTTTTGTATTCTTTTGTGAGTTCAGATTCTGGCTGGCTGGCGATCTTTGCCTGATGCAAACCCATTACAGCTTCGCCAAAAGTTCTGGAAAAGGTCCTGATTCGTCGAGTAGCAATGAGAAAGGGCAGCCCTCTTCCAATGTGTGAGGGCGGCCAATGACCAGGGCATAGACATCCCCACATTTGCAGAGATTGTTATAGCCATTGCAAGCAATCCAAATGTAGAATCCATGTCCATCGGCAGTTGTTGAATTTGAAATACTTCGATTCTATTTCTTGTCTGTCAAAGACGTCTTAAGTTCTTAAGTAATTACAGTAATTATTGTTTGTCTATGTTCCCTGTGGTAATCTTATTTTATTGGTATTTTTCTGAAGGGGTTGAAACTACTAATGCCTCGGGGGTCCTCAAAAATTGGGACATTTATACAGGATTTAAGCATCAAAAATGGTGAAGAATGAGGATTTCACCTAAGCAGTAAATAATGGATTACAAATAAGGAATACCCAAGAATGTTTCTTTTGAATGGGATAAGTGATGCTAATTTCTTGTAATTGAGTAGTTTAGATGTTTAGGAGGCGATCTTTTCAGACAAATCCATATCAGCTTCATTGGCATGCTGGGTTCTAAGGCATTTGTGATCCTTTTTTGGCATACCTCACTGTCCTGGATCTGAGATTGAATATGAAATCAGTAAATCTGTAGATGGCAAACTTTTGAAGATGATGACCTTTAAACTCACTTATAGAATGGGCTAGCGCCCTGGTGCCGCCGACCCCCCTATTGGGGGTGGTCCGGTAGAGAGAGAGAGAGAGATCATTGCGCTTAGAATTGTGATAGCTACAGGAAAGGTCTGCCGCGGCCTGAGTGGCGCCTGG